TTGGTCTAATTACTTGTCTAATTAGTCTAATTATTATCTTATTATTAGTAATAATTAATAATTAGTCTACGCAAACATCTATGAATGCACAAGACAGGCATAGATATGTCTGTTCACTGATATAATTTATTTCCACTTGGAATCCAATCCATAGTGCGCCGCGATAACGGTAATTATACCGGTAAACAACGGAACGATGTAGAGACAAACGCAGGCGATTATACGAAAGAGATATGATCTCGGTGGAAGAGGGGGAGATAAAGTTCAAATATGTACGTTGAAATAACTCATCGCCGATTTAAATGAGTCCCAAATGGCCGCGACTTCCACTAAATTTAACCCTATCCGATGTAATTCGCTCTCACAACACGGCCATAAGTGAGCGATAAAGCGTAGAGAGGAGGCTGAAGAAGCAGAGGCGCGCAAAGGGAGTGATGCTTAATGCTTATTGGACCGTATACGTTATTTGCCTTCGAACGTCCGATTAAAATGGCATGACGCCAGTGGACCGTGATCTTTGCAAATAATTACTTCGGGAGTTCGCGCGATAACGCTCCGATAACGCGGAGATCGATATCAATTTGTAAATGAATATTTAATCCGGCTGAAATAGCTGCATCTCCACTGTAATCGATGAAAAGCCCTTGAAATGAAACGCTTAATGACTAATATAGCCGGAATTTTACCTCGAAGTTGGTTATTAGAGGAACTTCTTACTCGACTACTTACGGCACTTATATATCGCGGTCCCGAGGAGATAACTTTTCGGTCTGCTCGGTCGTTTTATTTCCTTTGATATCCTTCGAGTTTCGCCGCGAGTCGCGTCGAGCGTCTCTATAAAATAAGTGTCTCTCTATGTAATAATGCCGTTATCTTATTTCCGCGAGACATGAAAATGTAATATGCAATTAGAAGCGATGTAATAAGGTCCGCTTAAATGAGCCGCAAGAGGCTGCTAATTAATGTATTAGTGTCCGGGAGTGCTTCCTCGATGCCGTGAATGATGGAGGAACATTTTACGAGTATACAAACGATATAAATTGCAAATGTCCGCGGGACAAGAGTCCGTCCCTTATGTCCCGCACGCTTATGATATTCAGAGATGTAATCAGCGCGACGCGCGAATCTGAATGTGTGTGTCGCAAAAATACGAGCAGAACTCAGTCCCGACAAAAGCCCTTTTACGGGCGTTGTTTCGGGAAATGGAGGTTTGAACACCATTTCCGCTAAACGGAGACGTCAGCTTTGTAGAACTTTATCCGCTCACACGCACGCACACACATCCGCACACACGCGCACGACATCTCAAACATCTCGGGCACCATATATCGCAACGATTTGTAGTTCCCGCCATTATGTTCCTCGTGAAAAATACGGTTTCCCACTGACGTTATCAAGTCGCAATACCCGGCAAATAATAATGGTGCCACGTAAACGCAACGCACGCCGTATATATCCGGCACGCGCCCAGCAAAAAGGGAGAAACTCGTTACCGTTTTTAAAGAAGCATCAATCATCGCACGAAACTGTACATTGCACGTTCTCTTTTTTCCTTACTTGAAACGCGCGTGATTCGGCAACCTCATCCCCCCCTCCCTTCCTGGACGAGCTGATCTAGAAAGGGAAGACGCATCTCCTCGCTTCTCTTTTTCGCGCGGTCATTACGCATTCCTCTTCCAAAGTGCGTTCGACTCGGTCAAGACAGACACGGGTCGTGGAGACGGGAGTTATACACGATCGCCGGAATCGACTCGGGAATTTCGTTTTCAAAACTTCTCCTCGCGAGCGAGACGTTGATCGGAACTGTCGGACGCGAATACTTTCTGCTCGAACTGATTGAAACTTACAGGCCGATAATTGGATCGCGGCCATCGCTACCGAGAGCGCGCGTAGGTCGAATGGATGCAATCGTTGCTTTGTCGGACTCGGCATGTATACTGGGTGATTCGTTTAAAATGATCGGTCCAATTATTAGCGAAATTTGCGAACATAAAAGAAATCCGCAGAACGTAAAAAAAGAAATTTTCATGTTTGGAAAAATTAATGAGGGGGAATAATCATCGATTGTGGATCCGTTTTTCTTTCGTAATAAAATCTCCGTAAAATTTCACTTAAAATGTATGAAAAAAGTACAATTCAAAAATGACTGATAAAACATTAACAAATTATTCGGGATAAAAGAAATTTTATTAAATTTCAATACGAGAAAAAAATCTTCCAATTTTTTTTTTTATTCAAATTTTGATATTTTAATAGCAAGAATGTGATTAGCTGATAATTATTCTGATAAATAGCCAATAAAATCACTGATTTCTCATCTTAAAGTTTAAAATAACTTTGAAACCTGACGTGACAGAGCAATTTGGTCGGCGATACTGTTTTTTGTCGATCTGTGTAATTAAATCGTTCGCTTTATGCGAATCACCCTGTATATTGGGGCGCCGCATTAAGGATTGAGGTGGTAGACGGCGCGCAGCTCTGGATCTCTTTTATAGATCGTTTCTAATAGACGCTTCTCTCGGAGTAGATATCGCCGCACGCGAGCGCTTGCTCGCGTATATACGAGTTATGGACTTGCGCTTGCCGGAAAGTAATGACGTCGGAGTTCCGACTTGGATCAGCTATAAAGGCTTTACTGTTGCCGGCACGTCACGCGCGGAGAGTGTTACTGTTCGAGCACATTCCGCCGAAATTCTCCGGAGGCTCGACAGCTGCGCTCGATCCTTTTTCTACTTTTGCTCCCGATGCTGTCGCGTCCCGCGACTGGTCCTATGTGTCTTTCTCTCTCTCTCTCTCTCTCTCTCTCACTCTCTGTGTATGTGGAGATATATGAATTTATAGAGCCTATTTTTTTCCCTTTTTATACAAGAAACACCTTATTGCGAACCGCGCGATATTTTTAGTCGCGAACGCAAAGAGGGGCGACTCGCGTTCATTTATCATCGCGAAAATTGTAACGGGGGAATACCTTCGGGGGTTCGTTTGAGATATATGAATTTTTAGTTCTTTATATCGCGTGCAAAATTAATAGAAATCGCGTCTATGTTTCATGCAGTGACCAGACGACGAGTGTTTGTTAAAGCCGCTCGTCAAAATGGTTTATACGTCAAAAAATACATATCAGTTTTAATCAAGCCGTAAATAATTCAAAATAATTTTTTTCCTTCCTTTAATTTGTTATGAGATAGCTGCTTATGGATATATTTCAAAGATTTAGAGACAAATATCTAGTAATTTGCGTCTTTTCAGTCGCATCTACAGCCAATTACGTAATTTTTTCCGTCCTAAAGAGTGCAGCCAAAATCGATAGCAGTATTTCGCGTTTTTACCGGTGGACCGCGCGCGGAATTTTACATTTTTACATGCAACTTTTATACGATGCAGATGCTCGTGATATCTTTCTCCTATTTTTGTTTACGTCTATGTATGTTTGGCATGTAAAACACTGACGTTGCATTTCGAATGAGCTACGAGTATCCGAATAAAATTTGTTTCCCGCAACGGTCTCAGTATGGCTGATGTTTTTAACACTAATGTATCAGTTCCTACTTATCACTAATGTTTCATAAATATTAAACTCATAATAGAATATTGAATATATATTGAGTTTTCCCGCCAATATAAAATATTTATCGCCAACTTATAATCTTCAAGATTGATGTTATTCTCGGGCACGCGATATAAATTTTACTGCAACTGAGCTTGAGAGCGGCAAGTATACCGTACGGTTTATGAATGATGTTATACCGAATTCATAAAGCATAATATGACGAATGCACATTCGGCCAGATTCCACTTTTAATGCAGCTATCGATATGCAGCGGTATATCTGTGCATATTGGGACGTAATTTAAATGCATTAATCCTTTGAGTGGTGAACTATGATGTATCGTCATATCATGCGTGTGCCTGGAGTGCCAACGGAGATTTATCGTCGTTGCTGCAACATTCAAGAGATAAACAAGACAGGTGTACTTGAATTCCGGGCAAAATTTTACTAAGCTGTTTTCATATAAATAATCACTATTTTCGCAACAAAACGGTAACATGCGCGAGATAATATTGTTATGAATTATATTAATCATATTTCTTGAAAAACATAAACCTCCATTAGCAGTTTAATAAAACAGTTAAATTTAGGAAAAATACACAATATTTCGAGGAAAACAATGCTAGTAAATATCTCGACTGATTGACGTAAATCATTGATGATCGTTAACAATACCGTTAATCATAAATTAATCCTTTAATAGAGGAAATTGTCAATAACGTCAATAATGTTAGTAAAACTCATCGCGCGGTACGATGCGCGCGCACTTTAATATACATTCAAGTGTATCAGCAACTAATTGTATCGATGAAAATATCTGATTTATGAAGTTAGAGACCAGGATTACAAGCCATGTCATCCAAGCTCATGCATCATGCGAACGAAATAGCCGGGCGAAATCTTTTTTCGAAGGAGGAAAGAAGGATCTCTCTCTTCGTGCCACCCCCTTTAACCGGTACGGCTGCACATGACAAGCAGCAACCGTGAAATATACAGGCTCCGCGAAGTACCCGCTACTTGTAATTCCAAGTTCGGCCGTGAGCATAATTAATGTACGACGAATTAATGATATCAAACTATCGATTGCAGCCTATTGTGCGCACATTATTATCTTCGTGCGCTACATCATTATCAGAATAACAGTTAACGCTTAGCACGCACGGTAGCCGCCGAATTTGCGAAGGAAAACGCGCGGGTAAATATCAACGATAAAAAAGAGCGTGGTATTCACACAGAGAGGGGTAAAAAATATTTCGGCGGAAATGCATGAGCGAGTGAGCGACGGCCTAGAGCGTAAAAAGAAGCCGTCAATATGAATAACGCTCGGAGCAGTCTCTATACGCCGCGCCGTGAACCGGGCGTCCGCTTTGTCGACGTTGGGGCGTGCGCAAACAAGCCGCGGAAAAACAAACGCAGGAGCCGAAGGGAGTCGGAAAGTGGTTATACTCACCGGTGCGCACCAGCACGTTAAGCAGGACGTATAGGACGAGGGTGGTGGCCCGGTATCCGTGTATTATGATCATCAGCCACCTCGACGCGCTGGATCCTGCCGCGTGCCATAGACCCGTGCCCTCGTGCACCATATTTTTCCAGCTCGCCCGTTCAAGCCCGCCTGGCCGCCGTGCGTTCCTCCCGTCCTCATTCACCGGCACTCTGCGACCATATGTATCGCGACCATGTAACACGGGGGGTTATCGGCGAGAGTCTCTCTCTCTCTCTCGGTTCGTCCGCGTTCGCGGCAGGTCGATTCCACCACTTTCCGCTCGCCCGGGCGAACTGAGACGTCGAGGACTCGTTTCAGGAGAAACGGCGGAGCCGCGCCGCGACTTTTACTACCGCTGACTAGCCTCGACATGTTACAATATGCGAACGTTACAGCGCATATAAACCGAGAGAAAGAGAAGAAGAGAACACTGTCTCGTCCATGACGCGTCGATGCGACAAAGAGACTGATTCTTCCACCGACGTTTTATTCGCTAATGCAGGATTAGAGATAACTGCTGTGTGGATTCCATTCATCGGGATTACGCTTGTGAAAAATAGCGCGGAGCGTTAAGCTTCTGGGAGCTGTTAAAAGGGTAATGGCGAAACCTCCTTTTAGCGGGTGAATAGTTGGCGTTAGTTGTGAGGACTCCTGTAGTCTCTCGCGGAGAGGAACAGAGAGGAGAGAGAGATTACGGACAAAGGTATTCGCAGCGATGCAGACGTGCGCTGCGAAAAAAGCTGTTTGTTAACCGAAGGAATTGCCGCGCTGACGCAACGGTATCTCTTCTATCTCTCTGGTAGATACGATGGCATTTATAACAACTGGATCGGCCAGATATTGATCGCGTTAATCGCGTATAATTTGTTCAATTTACTCGATACTTATCTGGGTGAAGGTGGGTATCTGTTCTTCTTTGTGTTCAGCCGAGTATTAAGGGCTCGCGGAAGTTCATCGGATCAGTAATGATTTCATTGGCTCAGAAAATGAGTTATTTCACGGACAATTTATTCAGACTAGCACCCAGAAGATGGAAAGCAGACGACAATGGTCGATTATTAATGTAACTGAATATAGCAATTACTGTTTAATTGCTATTAATGAAATCAATATGTTTGGCTGAAAGTTCGATGAATCGTACTAACCCTTAATCATTTCTTTTCTTGATATCGTAGGTTCTGAATTACAAAAAAATATGTTTCTTTCCTTACGTGTAAAATAAATCGACCACGCTGGTAGATTCGATTGTATAAGTTTCAAGATTTCTCGGGAAATATGAAGAATCTTAAAATGTTTTACGTTCTTTATCTCTACATTTTTAATCTCTCGACGCAACGCGCAGCGTCGCACCACGATTATGATAAATTATTTCATCGTGTTGAGATGTATGCGTTCCACATATTGAGAATATACAAATTGCGTATGCATGTGTACGTTAATTGAGATGTTTACTAAGGCGGATTTTTACGAGAACGGAACAGATCGCCCGGCTTTACTTACGACAGGCGAGGATCGATCCATCTGACTGCTCGAGATGCAGTGTAGTTCGATGATCATCCTAGCGTGGCGCGAAGGAAGTCGACGGTACCTATTAATGCCAGTAAACAGGTTCGTTGATCTCGAAATTTCTCGGTTACCTCGTGAGAGAGTCGACGAGTTTCCGGAATAATTTCTGTCGACGTCGGCAACGTTTCCGATCCGATGCCCGATACATCGGCACTTGAGTCACAAATCTGACTTTCCGCGTAGATGTTCTGATAAAATGAATTAGGGTCAATGGAGATTTAAAATAATCTGTACTTTACGTTATTACGTATCTAGGGTAGGTGCAGATTCGCCGGCGAATGAGCGCACTCAGTTTAATACTATATGAGTTTCTTGCCGGAACAATTATAACATATTCTGAATTAGCAAATGAAAATAAGCGTAAGAATAAACGGGACGGATAATTTCTTTTTGCGTTACCAAGCTCTTCTCGTACGAATCATTTGTTATCGAGGATATTCTGAAGTCTCCAAACCGAGAAAGACTTTGGTAAAACCAAAACAGAACCATTATTACTTAATACTTTTCAAAAAAGACGATTTGATGAAATAGATTCGCACAAATAATATATATAAATAAACAAATAAATAAGTGAATGAATAAGCAAATAAAATTAATAGTTTATATTTTTTAATAAAAAATAATGAAAACAAGAAATATAATAGTATTCCCAGCGAAATTTGTTTTCAATTTATATTGAGCAACCCAACGTAAAACGGAAACACCGCAGACGCCGCTAACCTGTCGCTCAGAACCAAAGGCAAATCAATTCAACGCGCCGTCACGTCAAGGCGCTTTTTCCATATTAAGGAAATGTCGTAAACCGAGTTTCGACATTGTCACAAACACGAAAGTTTTCTCCTCGCGGAACAAGGTATCAGGGCTCGTTTGCGTGGAATGTGTCTTAAAGCGCGTCACCTCGACGAGCAAAGCTCTTCGCTTAAATCTTCCTTCGCGCCGCCTATCTCCTGTCCTTCTTCATTCGACTGACGCATTACCATCGTATAACAATATAACCCAGGAGACAACCGCGCACCAAGTTACGAAAACCGACTAAATTGTTTAGGACACGCAGACTACCGAACATCTCTACGAAATGTTCAACCTTAACGGAGGGAGTTCGTTAGTACAGGTTTATGTTCAATATCACTCATAACGCGGTTCAACATCCTGTCTCACTCATAATAACGAGAAATTAATATCGATTTAGTTTATTCGCTCGGCGAATAAGGACGATATCAGCATTGGCCTGTTCGATAAATTCGCAGAAATTTTTGCGAAGGGTTCAAAGACGATACTTTTATAGTTGGACACCATTTTATTCAGTCCTGTATCGACCGTTTTTTCTGATGGCAGAAGTTCAACGAAAAAAAAAAAAAACAGCGAATAAAGTTGTACTTGATTATCGGCTGCGAGTTTTTCATGAAACTCCCTTGTCGAACTTAAAATCGCACAGGCCAATATGAAGCAAAGGTTACGCGCAAAATACACACACGCTCGTCAATTGCTTCGCATACGGAGCGGAATGTTCCATTTTAATGGCCGAGATTAGAAACACAGTCGTGCGAGAGTGGAAAACGCGGTCGCGCGACGCCTCACAGCTCGCGTAAAAATCTGAAAATCAGTTATACGCGTCTTCCCTGTCGCTCGACCTCGAGACCGTTTTCCAAACGGACGTGGTCGCGCCAAGGAGTTCCGCTCGTTGGACACGCGAGATGATTTTTCGCGAGTAACGAACTTAGTGTCGCGCAGCTTCTTTCAGCGTCGTTCTTCAAAGACCGCGCGTGGTCTTTGAACGCTGCGTATTCTCTCTACGCGGGGTTTCCTCGTCGAAAACGTGCAGGAACGAACACCTGTGCACGTCCCCGTTCGCGAGCGCTCACGCTCGCGTTTTGTAATTAACCGCTACTCTCGAGAATAAATCGAACTTTTCTGTCCTCTCCCTCACGGAGAATTTGCGCGACGTCGTCGCAGCGACTTGAAAGAAGAGGGTGGAATTAATATCGAGCCCCGGCGAGAGGAACGTTCCCTGCGGGCGTCGCGGATCCTTTTTTCCTGCGCCCGGCGACGTCTGCAGCGACACGTAAAACGACGTTTCACCGACGTAATTACTCGAAGGCCATTCGACTCGTAGCGTCGCGCAGCAACATGACGCAGCGCCGGCTCGAACATCAAAGTTCTCTTCTCCGGCTGCTAATTTCGAATGCGAAACGTCGAATGAAAGGGTCGCGCGCGCTCATCCGGCAGCGTTGTGTGGCGGAGCGCGCGCGCTCTCTTCTGATGACCGGGCAAATCTCGCGCGAGTTAACGCTACACTTCGCGCAACGGCCTGCTCTCGTATTCCGCCGGAGTTCTTCTTTTGAGCATTATTCCGTTCGAATAATATCAAGGCCGGACGGAAAAGCAAAGAAAAGGTAAAGGGCGCGTCTTTACAGAGATTTCCTCCGCCTTCGTCGCTTCACCCCGATTATTACCCCCCATCGTTGCTTCCCGTGCATTATACGAACATCATTTCCTGATTCAACTTACAGCCATCGACATGAAAACGTCTGGCCGGAGTATATACAGTCGGTTGTAGAACCGTGCAGACACAGTTTTCTAACGAAATCGGGGGCGCTCTAACTCGTCACAACTACGAGTCACAGTTCGTACGGTGAAAAATTTTAGAATGTTAGATATTATTAGTTAGATTACATTTCGTTATTAAAAATTTAAGACAGATACTTGTTGCTCATCCTCGTAAAATATCAACGTATCATAACAGTGTGGATGGAATGCGTTGCAAGACCGCGTATTAAAAATTAATCACGGATATGCAACGTGCCTGTTCGCTATAATAAATAATAAATTTACCACCCCGTCCCTTCCGTTTTTTTCATATCCATTAAAACTAGACAGAGCGTGAACGTTTAAAACCACGTGTATGTTCAAAACGGTTAGAACACTTTTCTCTTATGCATTTTGCAGATCAACCAATGGTCCAGTGAGAGAACTTATTTTTCGAAAACGACTTCCTTCATGTAGGCCCTCGTTTGCGTACCGAAATGCATAAAAAATATATGCAAACCGTTTTGAACCTTACCGCACAATGTATTTCAAGTCGTTGACACCTAACAATAAATTGACATGGCAAATTCGATCCAAAATGCTACTTCGGTTCATCGCGAACGTCACAGTTTCAACACGAGTCGACGTAAAGTCGGGTACATCGGAGGAAACCGCGACGGAAACACTCAAAGCATCGTAACCCGAAGCGCTGTCCCCTGACCGCTAATCAAACCTGCCCCTTGAGGAAAGCTCCGTCCAGATATTCTTCCGTCGACACTTCCAGCTGATCAATTTCACCGCCGCCGAGAAGACAAGCAGACGTGAACGAGAAGGCATTGTCTAACAATCCGAGGAAAGACAAGCGTTTCTGAGTTGTCGACAACTCGCTCGTCGCGGCGCCATGACAAACCAAAGCGACTCATAGTCAAAGTAACCGTGCCGGCAAATTGACGTACGTTTGATCTCAGGTAAAGAGTCGTCAACACAGTCACAGTTCTCTCTCTCTCTCTCTCTCTCTCACAGTTATATCGCGCGTTCAACGGAAAGTTAGCGCGGGCGCCGCAACGCGGGACAACAA